TGAAGGGTGTCAATGATTGTCTTCTGAACAACTGTCAGATCAGCAGTCTTCCCCATGATTGTGTAGCCTATTGAACCAAACTGAGAGATCATTTTGAAGGCTCAGGAAACGTTTGCAGGTGTTTTGAGTTGATTAGCTGATTGGTATGTCACCATATTCTAATTTGTTGAGATAGTGAATTGGTGGGTTTTTGTTAAATGTGAGCCAAAATCATCACAATTAAAAGAACCAAAGACTTAAACTACTTCAGACTGTGTGAATTGAATTTATTTAATACACGAGTTTCACAATTTGAGTTGAATTACTGAAATAAATGAACTTTTCCACGACATTCTAATTTATTGAGATGCGCCTGCATAAATTTATTGGCAACTCATATCATCTTACAGTACAGTACTGTTCAAAAGATTGGGGTCAGTATGATTTTTTTTTTTTATATATGTATATATATTTATTCAGTAAGGACACATTTAATTGATCAAAAATGATCATTTACATGTCACAAAAGATTTCAAATAAATGCTGTTCTTTTGAACTTTGTATTCACCAAATAACCCTGAGAAAAATCTCACAGTTTAGCACAACTGTTTTCAATACTGATAATAATAAGAAAAAAAATTTGAGCATCAGATCAGCAAATTAGAATGATTTCTGAAGGATCGTGTGACACTGAAGAAAGACGGGAAAATTCAGCTTTGCTTGCATCACAGGAATAAATTACATTTTAAAATATATAAAAACTGAAAACAGGTATTTTAAAAAGGAATAACATTTCACAAAATGTTACTGTATTTTTAATCAAATAAATGCAGCCTCAGTGAGCAAAATGGACAAAACATTTTTCAATCTATCAAATTATCTTGCCCACATTTTTTGACCATTGAATTTCTTTGATTTTTCCATCGATCTTTCCAGTCGAATTTCAAAATGTAAAAATTCCAAACTAAAAATTGCTTTATAGAGATTTCCGGAAAAGTCCATGCATATACCAGGTTTGAATACTTGGAGTTTAAACTTTTGTAAAGTGTACAAATGTCAGTACGACCTTCAATAGTTTTTACTCCTCACAACACTCAACAAAGAGTGATATCCAGCTGATGAAAAATGTTTAGAGCAGTAAGAAATAAGAAAAACTCAAATTCACAAATTAACTTTATTTTTTTTATATATAAAGATTTTACATCTACAACTTATTAGCAGATTAAGGAGTGGTTTCTCAGTCAGCGCTCAGTGTATAACGTCAAGTGCCTCTATGCCCCCTACTGTGCAGCTGATTATGGGTATTTAAATTACAGTGTTAAAAGCCGGCTTAACTCTGAGCCCAAGCAGCGCTAAGATTATTATGCATCAGAAATTGATGTCTTTGTTCTCATACTTAAGGACTGTAGTGAAAGACCAACCTGCATCGCCGGTGCTGCCTAAAGAAGGGCTGTCAGTTGAAGACCTGGAGCCGTATTCCACGACTGGGCTGGGATGGGTCTGATCCACCTTGGACTCCCCCTGGAGACCCTCTGGTTGCTGCGCTAGAGGTTTGTGAGCAGTTATGGGACGTCCTCTTGAGGATGTGGCACACAGGCTGGCCAACTGTGGCTGATGGAGAAATGAGCAACAGTTCTTTAGTCCTGTAGCGGATCAGCTCATGGGAAATATGAATAATTAACCATAACTAGTTATAATTAACTATTCATATTTTAGATCCACTGTAGATATTTAGCTGACCACTCAGGGTCAACCGTCTTGTCAATTCTAAGAACGTTAATTTCCTTTTGCTCATTCTGAGATGCCACTGTACTTGAATTACCTAGTTTAAAATGGCACATTTGATGTAGACGTTTATCTTCTAATATTCAATATTTAATTGTTTTTGCAATTTAAAAAAATTTATTTTAATTTATTTTTAAGATTTAGATCATCATCTAGCAATAACTCAGGCACGGTTATAGATTATGGCAAATATTTAATCTTCTAAGAGCACTCAAATGTCTCTTGAAACTTGCTTTCCCTTTAAGAGAGCTGTGTGTATTTGTGCATAAAAATGCAGCAAGTTAATTTATTGGGGGAAAAAGTACAACAATACAAGACAAATAGAAAATAGGTTTATAATATCAAACATTTATCACTCATAACAATTATAAATATAGGCATATTAAATATTATGCTATATATTTTGAATGATTTAACATGCCTAATTTGCCTATTTTTAAAATGATTTAAAAATAAAACTATAAACTTAATTTCACTATAATATTAAAATACAAATGTTATTTTAATGTTAACATGTAAATTATATTTAAAAAACAAATAAATAAATAAATAAATTCAAATAATAAAATGTAAATGTTATTATTTAAATATTAACATTTACATAATACTATAATATTGGAATAATTAAGATTTTTTTCAATGTTTTTGAAAGAAGTCTCTTTTGCTCTGCAACGTTGCATTTATTTGATGAAAAATACAGTAAAACTTGAAATATTACTGCAATTTACAATTTTAATATATTTTAAAATGTAATATATTTGTAAACATCATTATTTCAGTCTTCAGTGTCACATAATTCTCCAGAAAAAAAATTAATAAAATAAAAAATTATTCCAAACATTTGACTAGTAGTTAATATTTTGAAACATTACTGAATAAATATATTTAAAAAATAATTACATTAATTAAAAATATTATGAACAAAATATATAAATAAAATAAAATAATAAACGTACAAATTAATAATATTATTCATATATTATATTATATATTATTATTATAGTTATTATATTCATATTATTATTTTGACTTTTGAATTTTTTGACAGTTTAACTCATAAGTATGATATGAAGCACATTTTTAGATAACCTGACAAAATCTTTTACCCATCAACGTATGGACATGGCATTAGGACAGTTATAAATGTTCATTACTTGTTTCCTGAACTAAAGAAAAATCACAGTCCCACAGTAATGGCACTAATGCTAACAAGTCTGAATGTGTTTCTATGCCTGTACATATCATGCATCATTTCTATTGTACTTTCCAGCATGAAAGCAACATGAATGGAAATCTAATTTATTCCACCTCATGTAGAGGGAGTTTATGAGCACAATGATTCTTTGAGTCGGCGTAACCATGCCAGCTCCTACAGCCATGGCTCTCTCTGTTCACTTGGGTCTAATGGCAATTTGGTTAATGAAAAATGTATGCCTGCTGAAGAGCTAATAAGGACCATTAAAGTCATTATTGCATGCATTGAGGGGAAATCAAGGACTCTTTGTTATTGCTGTAGCTAATCTGTAATATTTCTCACTCCCTTTTTGATAAGATTTCCACGGGCAATTGCTTGCAGTGCCAAGTGTCAACCGGACTATTGATATCTTCTCTCCTTTCAAAGAGCGTGACATTGGAAATGTTATTGTAGCCATCAAGAATTTTGTCACAGTTGTCATAGAACTAATTGTACCCTGGACGACGAACACAAGTGTCTGGATGTCCAATATGTCTCTTGGCAGGGTGTCAGCAATGCAGAAGTATCACTTAACTCATTGAATTCGAGAAACAATATCATGAAATAGGAGCGATAAATACAGGACGTGTCATTATTTTGTCAGCCAGCATGCTGAGGAATGAGCAATTACTCAAAAAATTACTTTAAAAAATCATATTAAATCATATTTAAATAATTATTTTTAAATAAATATTTTTTTGATTATTTAAATATGTTAATTTTCAAATGATAGTATTTGGATACTAAATAATAATATTTTATTAATTTATTACATTTTGAAGACCAATTTAACTCAAGTAGCACATGAAGCACATTTTTAGGTAACCTGATAAAAATGTTACAGGGAACTAAAATGTTGAGGATTACGAACATGAAAACATATTGCTTGTTAAATAATATTTAAATAAATATTTAAATGTTTATATCATTTAAATATGTTAATATTTAAATACATATTTAATTGTTTGTATTATTTAAATCAAATTATACTATGCTACTATCAACATGGAAAAAGTACTGCTTTATATAATTTATATAATAATATACTGCTTTAAATAATAATATAATTTAAATATGCCAATATTCAGAATATTATAATACCACTACCAACATGGAACAAAGTATTGGTTATTAAATAATATTTCTAAAATAAATATTTTGTTTATATAAATTGTTTATATTATTTAAATATGCTCATATTTATATAATACTATTTAAATAATAAATAAAAATAACAATAAACCCAGTTTAATTAATTTTACCACATAAAGCACATTTTTAGGTAACCTGACAAGGCAACCCAAAATGTTGAGGAATGCGACAACTAACATGAAAAAATTGCTAATTTATTAATATTTCAATTAAATAAATCACTTTCTCTGACTTTTACATTAACTGTTCCCTCCTGGTGGAATGACCTGCCCAACTCAATCAGAGCAGCTGAGTCCTTAGACATCTTCAAGAATCGGCTAAAAACACATCTCTTCCAACTTTATTTGATCCTCTAACTCTAGCACTCTCTATTCTAATTCTATTCTTTAAAAAAACTTTGCCCCTTTTAGACTTGCACTCTATTCATTTACTGCTTGTTTTCTTTAAAAAAAAAACTATCACTAGCTTCTCCGTTCTTTTTGTATTCTATTTGTTTTTTTATTATAAAATTAATAAAAAACAAAAAAGGCCTCTAACACTAGCTTGCTCTATTCTTTTTCTATTGTATCTGTTTTCTTTTTATTTATTACATAATAAAAAAAAACCTTGCTACGTGTACTGCGTTAGGCTAACTGAGACTTGTTATAGCACTTGTATATCGTTGCTCTTTTGTTGATTTTGATTGCTTCCATTGTCCTCATTTGTAAGTCGCTTTGGATAAAAGCATGTGCTAAATGACAATGTAAATGTAAATAAATACTTAATTGTTTAAATTATTTAAATATGTTAAAATATGTTATTATTAGGACTGGAAATTTAACGCGTTAATTAGATTAATTAATTACGGTGAAAAATAAAGTGTTAAAACTACTAACGCATTTAACGCACTTGCCCCACCCCGACATTTCGTACAGCTGATTGACAAATATGAGGCAGGACAACAACTCACTGCGTGATGGAGCCTAGAGAACGTAGTTAGAATGTCCCTAAAATTCAAGATAGGGTGCAAAAATGCCCCTGTTTGAGTTTTTGTCTCATGTTTACAGCAATATCACACAAGCGATAAGTGCAATATCACACGAGTGCAAATGTGATACTGATCTTATAGTCTAACAGTTCAATAAATAAAAACTTAATATTGTGTTATTTTAGACGCATGTTGTCTGTTTTGCTCAATTTTGCCAACGAAAATATAAAGACAAAGCAGAACTGTTCGTCTCCGAGCAACACGCAGCTGCATTTCATTTCTTATTCCACGTTTTGAATGAATTGGGTGAATCATTAGGCTCGTTGGATTTGAAGCGGTGCTACACAGATCAATCGGTTTATGACATCAAAGTACCGCGAGAGCGATTCAAAGGCCCTGTCCCAAATGGAACACTTCATGTGTACTTTTGGTCTTGCGGACTTACAATGGCCGCCGCGTGCGCGTGTCCATTAAGTCCCATTTGTCATTTTTGTTTAGGGTGCCATTTGGGACAGGGCCAAAAGCATGCAGAGTTGTCTGCTCTAATCGCTCTCGCGATACTTTGATGTCACACACCGATCGATCTGATGGTGATGATCCGCTTCAAGTCAAAGAAGCCTAATGATTCAATGGACCATTCATGAAGAGAACCAATTACTACACTCCTGAATGACTGTGTGTTCCAAACGGGACCTATCGCCCTCTGAAGGGCACTTCGGAGTGAAAACAATCATGGCCTACATATTGAAGGGTCGTTCCAAACCGAAGTGCTCAAAACTGGCCACTTCAAAGGGCCCTTCGGAATGATGAATTTCGAACGGTACAACTGATGGACACTTCGGGCTCCCATGATCCTTTGCGCAGATTCTTTGCATGATGACGGTGCCTCTGTGTGGGCACGTGATGATGACGCAGAAAGGCACTTCAAGAAACAGTTGTTTGTTACACCCTTCAACCCTTCGAAGCTCTCACTCCGGAGGGTAAACCCTTTGAAGGGATTAGGGCATAGGGATGATGTAACGAATCCGGTCCATGAACTTCCGTCTGCTAGCCATCAGAGGTCACCCTTTCCATTTTCACTGACTCTCGCACTACACACTGTTGCATATCATCCCGGACTACATATCCCATCATTCATTGCACTGATTGCGCACAGCTGGTTCACTAATTGCACACAGCACTGATTGCACCCAGCTGTTTCATATCACTCACTCACTATTTAACACTCACTCTTATCCCTTCCCTCTGCCGAGTATTGTTTAGCACTTATCAGTTTGATAGCTACACTACAGAGCCCTCGTTAGCCTCCTAGCCTAGCCTAGTCTTCCTTGCCTGTTTTTCTCGGTTTCTTATCTTCGCCTATTTTCCTGGATTACCCCTTTAGTCTTGCCCCTTTTTTGACTCTGTTCGCCATTCGTTGACCTTCGCTAGCCCTAGGATTATTCTTGTGTCTTGCCCGCCATATTCCTGTTT